ATGCCGATATTTAAAAAATGCCAAATATCGGCCTTGGCGATATATCGGTCGACCACTAATGCTCATTCTAACTAGTGTTATATGCCATTAGTTGTACCATACCACTATACGTACACTAGTACTGTACTCATACTAAAACTTAAACTGTTAGTTCACCCAAAAATGAAAATTCTGTCATTGCCCTCATGTCGTTCCAAACCCGTAAGACCTTCATTCATCTTCGGAACCCAAATTAAGATATTTTTGATGAAATCCGAGAGCTTTCTGACCCTGCATAGACAGCAATGCAACTGAAACATTTTATGGCCCAGAAAGGTAGTAAGGACATGGTTTAAAATAGTCCATGTGACATCGGTGGTTCAACCGTAATGTTATGAAGCTACAAGAATACTTTTTGTGAGCAAAGAAAACAAAAATAATGACTTTATTCAACAATTTCTTCTCTTCTGGGTCAGTCTTCCCTGAGAGTACCGCGACTATTTACTGATAGTGCTGTACTAATAGTATTACTACTATACTGATACTCATACAATACCAATACTAATACCATTATAACCTGACAAGTGCCATACCACTACATTTACACTAGTTCTGTCACTGATACTAGTACTACACGGATAGTAGTGCCATACCACTGTGTGGATGCTAGTACTACTCCACCACTGTTAACAATTACAAGTACTTTACCTACACTAGTTAACATGCAAGTGCTACTAATACTAGTTCTATAGCACTATACTGTTACAAGTTTACTGCCGTGTTGACACCATGCCACTATAACACACATTGCAACAGCAAAGACTTTAACAACATACACACTCACTGACTACACTAACCAGACACATCCCGCCTCTCAAGAGCTAATTTCAGCTCAGTCAGAACCACATCTGCATTCGTTATGAGCAGTTGAGGTCTGACACTTCTGACAGGGTTTCAGTTTAAGGTAGTTTCCAAATCTGTTCTGACTCATTTGTCATTGCTCGCTCAATTGTCATTCATTCCTGTCTCAGCAGAAATAGCTCTGATGCCCGGTCAGGTTACTGCAGCCCTAGACATTGTTAATACATTTGCTTATCTTGAGAACCGGCCTAGTTGCAGAAGTCGGGCACGGAGGGTGTAATGACAACCTGCAGTAGGCCACTGTGACCTTCAGGAACATGTGACAGCCTTCTCTGGTATCTGTGGCTTAGTAGTTGCAGTTAGTTGCCAGTTCTTTTTATCTCTTTTGCTTAATCTGCCGTCATCCTTTTTTAGTTTTTTCTTACCTCATTACCATTTGAGGGATAAAGATCAAGCCATGTGGTTTTCAACTACACAACATTTGTGACAATACCCAGATGTTTGCCATTGTCCACTCAATCAGTGTTGAGGTTACTAAAAACAAGTTTGCCATCACTTATCAATCAGAGTGTCCACTGGTCAAGGAAACGTCACTCTAATACAGAAGGTCTTATCGTTATCTTGCTTTTTTCTATTCCTCTCAACGTTTCCAGGCTTATGAACTATCCACCTTAACGGGGACGCAAGTTTTGCTCCTGGTTGCCAGCGAGACGGGCCACGTCTACACGTTCGCCACGCGGAAACTTCAGCCCATGATCACCAGTGAAACGGGTAAAGCCCTGATCCAGACCTGCCTAAATTCCCCTGATTCTCCACCCCGTACGGACCCTTCAACGGACCAGCGGATGAGTGCCACCGGATTCGAGGAGACGGACCTCACCTACCAGGTCTCAGAGGCTGATGGTCTCACAGAGCCAAAGGTACATACTTTCTGATACATATTTTCAGTCAATTAGTCGATGACTAGATGGTCGTAAGTAAGCTCTGTATAATCCTGCTAGTTTAGGGTCATGTTGTTTACAAGACACAGACCAGATGTATTTCTCAAAGGTGTTCACTAAGGATGCATTTTTGTTTTTATGATAGCAAGAAAGGATGGAGTGCAACAGGTCTCAAAACATGTTTTGAAATTTGGTAGAAAAAAGTTGAAACTTGTTAATTTGATAAGTAATTTAAAACTTTCAGGATGTGTGGAGTAACAAATTGCATGGACCAGACGCTTTTCTTTAGAGGTATGCATTTTGGATGCATTCTTTTGTTCACAATAGTTGGATGCCACACAACACAACTTTTTGTGTTTTTTGAAAAGTTTGACTAACTTGGTAGAAAAAAATTTAAACTTTATACATAATTTTAATTAACTTTCTGGATGTATGGTGCAACAAATTGCGTGGATCAGAAGCTCTTCTTTAAGGGCGTTCACTTAGGACACAGTCTTGTGTTCACAATAGCTGGCTGAAGCACAATGGGTTTTGAGATTGGTAGAAGTTGGTAGAAATTTTGGTAGAAAAACATTAAAACTTGTTAATTTGATGCATCATCTTAAAAATGGTCAGGACACATCATGCAACGAATTGCATTCTTGTGTTCACAATAGCTGGATGGAGCACAACAGGTCTCAAATTTTGTTTTTAAAGTTGAACTAAGTTGGTAAAAAAGTTGAAACTTAATTGTTAATTTGATGCATTGTCTTACAAATGTTCTGGATAAGTGGCACAACAAATAATGTGAACCAAACTTTTTTTTATTAGGGGTGCTCACTTAGGATGCATTCTTGTGTTCATAATAGCTGGCTGGAGTACAACAGGTTTTGAGACATGTTTTGAAAATTGGTAGAAAATTAGGTAGATAAAGTTAAAACCTGTTGGATACATGGATAAAATTATGGGTACATCATTTAAAAAAGAAAAGGAAATCTAGATAAACTCGCTACCTGACATTAAAGTCGGCATGAAACGGAAGTTGCGATTGTCTTTTCTTCTCTACTGTGACGTATGGAGGTAAGGTTTTTGATTAAAGATTATGAGGGCACATGAATTAAAAAAAAATAATGAAGTGCACGGATAAATTATTTATAATAAACACTACAGTATTCCATTAAAAAAATAAGAATTTTCAATTTTGGTTTCATGGTGACTTTAATGTTGTTGGTTTGACTGGACTAGTCTCATTAGACCAGTGGTTCCCAACCCTGGTCCTGGAGGCACCCCAACACTGCACATTTTGCATGTCTCCTTTCTCTGACACACCAATTTCAGGTCTTGGAGTCTCTATTAATGAGCTGATGACCTGAATCAGGTGTGTTTGATTAAGGAGACATGCAAAACGTGCAGTGTTGGGGTGCCTCCAGGACCAGGGTTGGGAACCACTGCATTAGACTATTTGGTTAATGAATTAGTTGAGTGTGCCAGATATTTTTTACATCTAAATACGAATCTTTATATCACCATAGTCCATCATTTGAGTAGAAACTTACTCCCATTCCTGAGTTTCTTGACCTTTGCAGGTCTTGGTTTTCCAGACTACAATAGCGTGTTTTAACGTGGAAAGAAATCATGCACAGCTTTCACACAAAACCCCTTTTCGACTATCTGCATACATCCTGCAAATACCATATTTGCCTACATTTAAGAATGTTTGCGTCACCCCAATCACGTCTTGCATGGCAGCATGTATTATTGTCCAGCTCTCATTGATAAGGATTAGATGCTGTCTGCATGTCCTTATATAGTCTGATTTTCCCAGTACACTTTCTTGGCTCATGGCTGATCACATTCCGTATAAGCTGCAGCTGTTTTCAAATTTGGATGACATATCCCCCCCTTTTCCCTACTGATTTAGGGCAAGCAGTGAGTGAGCATGCAAAAATTAAAAACCCGAACCTCTGTTTAAGAAATTGCTTTAAAAAAAGCAGATCCTCATCTTGTTGAGTTGATGACTAGCTCATCATATAGTCCATGTTTTGAAAAGTCATCAAAGGAATGGGGTACCTCCTTCCATGTTTGATGACTGACAAATGCTCCAGGGCTTTATGACACAGATTGGTTTTTGGTTACAGATGCTAAATATTAGTGGTCGACCGATATTGGTTTTTTGACAGCCGATGCCGATATCTTGGAAAGCAGGGTGGCCGATATAAAGCCGATATAATTTTATTTATTTTATTTAATATTTAAGAAATTTGAAATCATTTGAAAATGGATTAAAAAAAATAAATGTGTAAAATAAACATGCTTATACTTTAAATGACAAAGTATTTTTCACAAATAAACAAATATTTTATAAAAATATAATTAAAAAGGAAGTATACACTGTAACCAACAGGACACTCAGTATTCTGGGAAGTTTGTGTGCATTGGGAATTAGTGTTGGGCGATATGGTAATTTTTCAAATCGTCATATCGCCAGCCCGTGCGATCGCCGATACACGATATTATCGTGCGTGCGTGCATGGGTGGGTGGGGGCAAGAGAGAGACTCTCTGTACTTATCATAGGCTATTTCATAACTAGCCTATGTGGTGTTTTAAACCGTGCGGGTGTGCGAGAGAGAGCCTATGAAAGCACCAATAATCGAAATATACTTTCAAACATACTGATAAACTAACATGTTAAATATAAAAATATTTAAAACAGCCATTTCATATATATTCGGATACAACAGTCATAAATCGCTATTAGGACCGCGCGTCCTGTGACAAGTTTGGCGCATCAGAGCACGGAAGTTATCGGTCTAAAAGGTCTGCAGTCCTTTTAGGTCCTACAGTCAGCATTTACCTGTATTTTTGAAAAGGTCCTGTTCACACATGATCTCTTAACGGTAATTTACCAGTAAAGACTGTATGTGTGAAAGGGGCTAAACTCTTCCTCTGCATATGCGGTGAGTTTGGGTTGCTTAACATTCATCTGGGAAAACTCACTTGATTTGTAACGTAAATCATTTAAACTTATGCCAACACAGGAGAATACATCAATATATTTCTAAATATGCGTTCAAAATAAAAGTTTCTGACTTTGCATGTGGCCAAATATTAAAATTAAATGGATTTAAACGTCGTTGAATCACATCAAAACATCAGATTACTCGCTTGTCAAAATAATCAGTAGATTACTTGATCAGCAAAATAATCATTAGTTAAGCCCTAGATTAGTTAAAACATTTCAAAATACAACTGCATTGTTTTACTTTTTGTGATTAATCAGATGCCGTTTCACTCGGATATACGTCACAGTAGAGAAGAAAAGACAATCGCAACTTCCGTTCATGCCGACTTGAAAGTTTGTCGATAGCGCGTCTCAAGCCCCCTTCACACTGCCAGCGACTTTTTCGTTGTATGTCGCTAGACTCTGTACTGTGAAGACGCTTGTGGGCGTTCCTACTGCTGTCGCTCTAATGTTATTGGTAGACTGCACGTCTGGACATATCTTTAGAAAATGCAATCACAAACAAATATATACTGCCGATTCAAATATTGTGACAATTAATTTTGTAGGGTGCCACAAGTTTGTTAAAATTTCCAAAGGGTGCCGCGACTAAAAAAAGGTTGGGAAACACTGATATAAATAACAACTCGAACCATCAATGTATGAATCAAACTCACTTAGCCAACAGTTTCTTTTCTACGCATCATTTTTTTATATCCATGTATGTGGTTACAGTCAAATCATATAAAAGTGAAATCGCTCAAGAAATCTGTCCTGTCTTGCCTGCACTCGAGGCGGTGACGTGTGAGCGCCCACCCCACATTCTGTCGCCAACAGTCACTGTCGCTCGTGTCGCCGGAAGTCGCCAGCTCTCCATTGAAAATTAATGGGAGCATGTCGCTTTGTCGCTGGCAGTGTGAACGGGGCTTCAGTGAAGCAGAACAGTCCTCCTGTCAGCATTCAATTTGCACGGAGCGACCGTCACGCAGAGAGCACGCGATCATGCAGGATACACATGCACACTTCACAAGATCTCACAGCTGGATTTGACTAAGTTTTGCAAGATTTTTATAATTATATATGTTCATTAGTCATTTAAAGATTTGTTTAAATTATATAAATGCGTATTTGCTGAAGGCTGACGGCAAACGTGAAAGTATTATAATGTTTGCCTTTCTATTACTAATAATATAAAAGCAATCGTTATAATACTTTTTGTATTTTATTTCCTTTGTTTAACAGTTCTATCTGATTATTACTTCTATCCGTATTAGACAGAACTGTTAACGACAACAGCGAACAAGAGGGAGAATGTGAGCACTGTGTGCTCAGGCGCTGCCGTTCTCAGTGACGTCAAAATAAAAGTCCTCGAACAACATCGGCCAAACAGAAAAACTTATCGGATGATGCCGATATTTGAAAAATGCCAAATATCGGCCGATATATCAGCCTTGGCGATATATTGGTTGACCACTACTAAATATGTCAAAAGTCCCTGCAATTTGGTACTAAAATGAAACGCACATAATAGACTTGTGCCGGTATTCGGTAATGCGATATATCACGGTAATGAATATGCACGATATTGTTATCGTGGGCACTTCTAAATACCGTGAATAATTATATATTACAAATTATTCCGAATTTTAAATGCATTTTAAGAATACTTTTCCCATCAACTGGTCAAAATGCACAACACCGCTGTATGCTGCGTGAAAGACGCGTGCGCACTCTGATGTAAACAAGCGCGGATGTGAAGCACATGGCGGAACATGTGAGAGACGCTCTGGATGAAAGCGCACTTTCACTCTCTGACAGCAGATGGCGCTAAACTGCAGAAATAATAATAATAATAATTCATTTAAATGCAGCCGTTACCCCGGAAACCCTGTAAACAAAGCAGCTGCACTACTTCCTGTTTCTGAATCATGTTTAAATGATTTAAATAGCCATTCAGATTTGTGTATTTGCTATGATGTTCATCACAGCGCCAAATAC